CTGTATTAATAGGGAAATTTGTCATAGTATCTAATGCATACTGGCTTTGTCATCCCTCCAAAGAATAGATCCACCTGAGAAAGAATGGAGCTATCTGAGGCTGTTGCAGAGTTGCCAGGAGAAATGGAAGAATTTCTAGTTTATGAATACGATGGCACCTCCAGTCCCACTTAATGCATATGGTTCAGAAAAGGAATTCTGGGGAAAGAAATTTTCCTCTTAAAGATGATACTTTAGCAGAAACAAAGATTGGTTTCTTCTTTTCCCAAAATTAGCTGCAAGGTGAACAAAACTGGAAAATAGGAAGGTAATTGGGGCTTAGGTGATCTACAGACTAATCATCCATTATGCCACAGTCTTAAAATTTGAGATTTTCATTGATGAAATTTGTATTAATCTTGTAGTTTTTACATGTATATATAGTTTTATATGTATTAATTCACTTAACAATAATATCAAGCCAACCTCCTATGAAGTACATACTGTTATTATATGCTTTTTATAGAGGAGAAAACTGAGGCTCAGAAATTAAGTCATTTGCCCATATTTGTACAGCCAGGTGTCAAAGGTTCTATTCAAACAGAAGCACCATGGCTCCAGTCTTTATTTAATCATTATGCAATTATAGCCTTTGTAGCAGTTTTTCATTTTTATGTATTTTCAGAGGAATTTAGGACAAATACTTAATTTATTCTAAGGTTGAGATGGAGATTGTTTTCCATATTTCACAAATGATGGTAAAGGGGTGCAAAATGGAGAGGCTGGACTTGACCCTAGTCATGGACGTTTCTGGTAAGTCTTCATCTCACCACTTGGTTTCATCTCTTTTGAAGACGTTTAGGAAACATCAGTGTAGCCATCCTTCTTTCAGCTCTGTCATACTAAATTATTTTCATATTCTTTTTAGACCTAGTTAGCAATCCTCAAAGATCAGAACTTTCTTATTATGGACATTAAAGAAGAAATTTTCATCACATTTTTTCCAACATTATGGTTTATGATTTGACACTTCTTCCTTTATTTAACAAATGCTTTTAAAATTAATATTACTCTGTGCCACGTACATTCTGTGAGTAAAAATTGCCATAAATGTAATAAGCACAGTAACAAATTTACCTTAGATAATGCCACCCATAGATACTTGGTAACTTCCTGTTACACTCAGAAAGAATATCCTCATATCCAGTACAACACCAGTTAATACTTAGGTGTTCGAGATACTCTAGCCTCAGTTGCATTTCTTGTATTTGGTGTTTTTTTTTAACTTCTTTGAAAACAGTCACCAACCAGCAAAACTACTCTTAACAAGGTACAAGACTTTGATTGTAAATGAATAGTGGGGATGATTAAAGAGATTTTTTTATTTCCTTGTAATGTTACTGTAACTATGTGTACAGTTAGGAAGTGTAGCATTTTTGTTAAATTGAATCTTAAACTAATGTCTACTAGGGACATATCTCCTGTAGGAGACTGTCATATCTTTGGTATGGGGTATGTTTTGAGAAGCCATATTCTTAAAAAAAAATTCATAAAAAAAATATATATTTTTTATATAATATGAATTTTACTACAAATTTCAGAAAGTTAAAGTATTTTCAGCTTTTTTTTTTTTTTTTTTTTTTTTTGCTCCTGGGGTTAAATAGAATCTGAAATGATTCTCTGTGAGAAATTGCCAACCTAAGTATTCTGAATCTCCTGATAGGTGAAATTTTTATGTTTATCGAAAAGGTCCTGGGTTCAAAAGGGGTTGAAAGACACTGTTTTAAAGACCCAAGGACTACTGCTCATTAGATATAGTAATTTAGGTCCTATAACTCTGTGAAGTATTTCAGTCAAATCCTGTCACGCTGGATTTGTGATCTACTTATAAGATATTTGTTTTAGCTACATGTCATGATGCTATCTGCAATTATAATACAATTATTATTTTACCTAGTATGATACTGATTTTTTTTGGCTTCCAGGTTTTTACAGTTTAATTAAAGTACTTTTTATGCTTCAATAGTAGCTTTAAAATTGTTTGCAGATATATTTAAAATATTGTTATGATACACCTTGATAATTTGAAATAAATAATAAAGATAATTCAAGAAAGTCTAAGTTTTGATTAAGATAATTCATTTTTTTTTTTTTTTTTTTTTTTTTTTTTTTTTTTTTTTTGTAGAACAGCCAGAGATTTTTAACAGTGGAATTTCAAAACTTTTAAAAAAGGATCAGACTCAACTACATGTGTGCTCATCCAGCCTATTACTGGATAACCTAATTTGTAGTCATAATCAATAATTGACAGGTGTTTTTTTTACTATAGTTGACACACAATGTTGTATTACTTTCAGGTGTACAACATAGTGATTTGACAAGTTTATGCATTATGCTATGTTCACTACAAATGTAGGTACCATCTGTCATCATACATTGCTATTACAGTATCATTGACTATTATGCTGTGATTTTTGTTCCTGTGACTTACTCATTCCATAAATGGAAGTCTGTATCTCCCACTCTTCTTCACCCATTTTGTTTATTCATTTACAAATAAAAATAAAAAAAATACATGTTTTACATCATGTATTTGAAGTTTAATGAGCTTTTGGCATAAAGGGAATTAGTAATATTCAAGAAACAAAGCTATTTATTTAGAGTAATGTCTCTGTCTTAAACTGAATACCTGTGTTAATTCCAGAATCTGACAGCATAGAGGTAAAAACTAAAGATAACATATATATCTTTTATATATCAGTAAAGGATTTTATTCAAGTATTTATTATAAATTAGTAATTGTGTGACACCTCATGGCCTTGTGTATCATCTCATGGTGGGTTCAAAGATGAAAGATTAAATACAATTTTTTAATCTTGATATTTTGGGTAAAACATAAGAGAAATTTCACAAATGTAACACACATAAAAGAGGGATTTTCCTTAAAATTGTTTTTAATTTTTGTCTGTTCAGTGAATAAATCTGCTCTGTGGTATAGCTACACTGCTTTAGGTAATGTACCAGTTTCATATTCTAAGGACATGTTACATGTATTTTCACAACTAAATAAATTTCTACATAAATTTTGTCCTGATCATGTATGGTTAAATTTTAACTCCTCAGGGAACTTTTAATCATCATTAGTCTAAACTTTTTAGATTAAAAAAAA